CTTTTCAGCAGAAGCCGATTGGTCACGCTCTTTGTCATATAGAGTGACTCCAACTTGAGCCACAATTCTGCTGTAGAGGTTTCTTTAGCAACTTCACGAAGAACCTCGTTCGATAAGCACAAATGAATAGCCGACATGGCTTTCATATCAATCTCCTCCCTTTTTTCATCGGACATGGATTCAGGCTTTTTCTTTTGCCCCGCCAAGGCTTTCTCTAAGCCGTTCTGAATCAGAATTGCTCTCATCTTGAGCTTCCATAAACCAAAATTCACAGATCTATCAAATTTCTCAATGTCAAACTTCATTGATGCCATTAGTAACAAAATTAATCGGTAATAATCCCAAAAAACAATGCTCTGATATCAGTTTGTTAGGATTAAACTCTGAATTACCGATTAATTAGTATGGCAAACAAGAAAAAATAATTGAGGAAWATGTGAATTATAAAGCAAATAATAAGAGCAAAAGAAAGGTAAAGATGGCACCAGATTTACGTGGTTCGATCAAAGAGACCTACATCCACGGGAGAAGAAATAAAACATGTTTATTCATGTTCTTGATGAGAGAACTACAAACTGACCACCTTACTAGTGCCGAAATGCCTTTAACAAAGCCTTGAAGCACTAAAAAAAAAGGGCATAGATGACTGTTTTGAGCTGGTGTGAGAGAAACCCTTAATGGCATCAGTGAAGAAGAAGAACGATCCAAACAGAGTAGGAGCAGATCTTGTCAAAAGATGGTGATGGAGTTCTCCCAATCTTTTCAGCCTTCTAATGCTCTCTCTCCATACTCCTACTACCCCCAGGAGGCACCCCTTTTATAGAAGAAAATAGGGAAGTGGAGGAGTCACAATAAGTGCAGCAGTTTTTGGTGGTGTAATTGTGACTGGTACAACATTTATACCAAAAGATAAATGTAGTAATTTTTGGTGGTGTAATTGTAATTGAGGCTATTGAATTACTTAGCCACACCAAACGCCAACAAGAGGTCTTCTCTTTCCCTTTTTAATTAATTATTTGCTGTACAAGATTTCATTTTTTGTAATATTTAGCTTTGAGATATTGTTACTGCTAGTAATTGCCCATACTAAAAGAGAAAGTGTCATTTACATAGACACTCCCCTACATTTTCATGTATTTATTTATTAAAACTTGCCTTATAATATGTGTATAATTAATTTGTAACCGCTTTAATTTATTTAGCACTATTTTTCTTAGGAGTAGGAAATAAAGTTTCATGAAAACAATATTTTATTTATAAAAGTTAAGGATCCATTTGGTTCATAGTCGGAATAGAAATCAAAATGGTTTATTCCCATAGTCTATTTAGTTCAAGCAAGAATGGAAATAAAAATTGGAATCAATAAGAATGAGATTTCATTCCAAAGAGAGTGGCAGGGAATGGCCATTCCCTCAAATGGAGAAATGCTATTCCAGATTCCAGGAGAAATGGGAATGGGATTCCGATTCTACCCAACCAAATAGTGGGAATCGGAATAGCCCATTCAGACCCCTATTCCCACAAACCACACAGGGCCTAAGTTGATACGAGAGTTATTAGGGGTATTTTTGGAATAAAACCCTGTGCCTATGCCTTTTAATAATTCTTTTATTCAAATTTTAAGAGGTCACTTGACTATTCCCAAACAAAAATACAAATAATTCTAATTCATGATGGAAGGTCAATTTAAGTAAGACGCGCAGCTTTCAAATTATAGGGGTTGTTTTAGTAACATGCAGGCTATATGGTGGGTTTTAATAAATATGCGAAACTATATATAAGGGGTGTATAAGTGTCGACCCCAAATAAAGATTATACTCTAACTTCTATCTAAATGGTTGATTGTTAATCTTTGAATAACTTCTTTAACGTTTTATTATTTTCAAATGACGGGTATTAATAGGAGTGGACGTTCCTTCCCCATAATTTCTAGTTATTTCTTAGCAATTTGTTTCATAGCTTTAATCCACAAAGTAAACAAGCCTACCATATCTCTATTTGTTTAATTTATTTTTCTTTAGGCTCAGTTTGAAAGGAGTACAAATACAAATATGTAGAGTGCAAAATCTTGTATTTTGTATTATTTTCATATTTTGTATGTATTTGCATTGCATTTGTATTCCTTCCAAATTGAGTTTTAAGAAAATGTTTAAATTTTGTCTATAATGTGTTTGGTTGCAATGCAAATAAATTTGTTCTGATACAAGACTATGGCAGTGCAAATGATTTAAGTGTAAATTCTGATCTATTTTTCTTTCAAATTTTGGTTTATTTTGTTTGGTTGCAGTACACTTAAAGTAAATTAAGACATGAAACAAAATAAAGTAAAACCCAAAACAAAGTTAAACAAGAACTTGCATTTTTTTTCATTTACACTCTTATGCAATTGTAATTGTGCAAATAAAATTGCACTGCAACCAAACACAGCTTAAGGCTCAATTTGGAAGCAGTACAAATGCAAATATGTACAGCGTGTAAATAGATACAAAATATAAGGTTTTGCACTCTACATATTTGCATTTGTACTCCTTCCAAACTCAGCCTAAGTTTTTTAGGTATACCTTCCTAACATTCTTTCGAATTTTTCCTAAAAAGTAGAGTATTAGTTTCGTTCTTTTTCTTGCTTTTAATTATTGATACAAAAAGTGATGCTGTTTAGACCAATAAAAGCTTTTGCTACATGTAGACTACTTGATCCAGAGAATATACAGTAATTTGTTTCTTTAATTTGCTTCATTCTTGGTCTGACGTGAAAGGAGTACAAATACAAATATGTAGATTGTAAAATCTTGTATTTTGTATGTATTTATACTGTATATATTTGTATTTATACTCTTTCTAGACTGAGCCTTAATCATTTTAATTGTAGAGGTATCCATTTTCTTAATCGTTTATACATTTTGCTGCTAAAGGTACTATGAATTGGGACCTGATGAACCTCCTTACGCTGCTAACTTCTATGAGTGCTGTGGCGCTGAAGACCCTGATGCTTTAGGCTGCAAAACTGATTCCCATATAACTTATGATGAATCTGAAGATCAGGAAATTACTTAGGGTAGCCCACTCTTTGACGAGTTCTATTGGATTGGGGTGTTTTTACATCTAAAGTGAAAATTTATATGTATTAATATATATATATATATATATACATACATGCATAGTGGTTTTATTTAGTTGTTGGTTTGAAATTGATATTGGCTTCTCTTGACTAGCAATTTCTCGGTATTCCTCTTCTTATTTTCTAATAAAGTTTGTGTTGATCTGTGTTGTGCTTTACATCCTTCGAAAATAAAAATGAATAATTTCATGTGGCAGCATAACAAGTTATAAGTCATTTATGCATATTATTTAATATCAAAGTCATATTTAGGTAGATTACCAAAAAAGAATAAAAAGGTTGGATTTAGGTTATTTGAATATGTTTCATCGTACTCTTAAGGCTGGGTTGGATAAAATTGCAAAATGCATATGTACCAACGTGAAGGCAAACTTTGAGTGCAATGCTGGGTTCAGTGTTGAAGCAAACTTTGCTTCCATTTTAGATGTGAAAAAGCAATAAAACAAAAAAAAAACATTTACTTTCTTTTCAGTACAAAGAATACTCTTTATAGTTTTATCAACCCCATGAAAAATCAAACTAGAGTACAAATTCATATTGATTCTGCATTTGCACTAGACTTGTTCATGGCCTGGTTGGGCTTTGCTTTTGACAAAATTTAAATGGGCCTAACCCGAAGCCCGAACCTAAAACATTGTAAAGTTGAGACTGAACCGGAAACAACCGTTGATAACGGCCGTGGTTCCGCGCCATTTGTTCCGGTTATAACTTATAAGGGACTGGAGCCCAAAATGTCCAAACGAGTGGTCTGGCTTCGCGCTGAAGCAATCGTTTTTTGGTGAGGTAGGATCGAAAGAAAAGTAGAATAGAAAACGGAAAAGAGGACGCCGGTAGAGGGTAGACGTCACACCAAGTAGACCATCCTCTCTCTCTCTCTACTACTACTACTACAAATACTGCTATTCTTTCCTTGATTTTTACCTTTTAGCTCCAGAATTCCGGTCCTTCAAACTCAAACCAATAAATAAAGGCCTTGATTCTGAATCTACAGCAGCATCCAGCATTTCCCTGCAAATCCTGGTTTCTCCTGCATCGATTTGACGGTAACATGTGGTTCGAGATCTTGTGTGGATTGGTTGTTTTCCGCCTGCTCCGACGATTTTTCTACGATGATGACATTTTAGAAATCGAAACCACCGATTCCGATTCCAAGTTCCTGGTTGCAAGCAGGTGGGTTGTTCTGTCTCTGTCTCTTTGAAACCCTAATTGCATCTTACACAGAGAAACCGTAAAATTGGAGAAATTTTACCGGGCAAATCTTTGATGTTCTGGGTATGCATTCTATAGGATAGAGAAGCTTTATGGTGGTAAAGTGTATCTCGGACTTCGAATTCCGGACGCCGACACGGGTTCTCGACAAAACATCGACATGGTTCTCGTGACGAAAGGGTTAGGATTTTTGCTTTTCTGGATTGAATTCCGTGTGTGAACTTACCTATATTTTTAGTTTCTTAGATATAGTTTCGGCTTTTCAGAGAAGCAGTGGTGATTGCAGTCAAGAATTTTTCGGGTTTTGTGGGAATTGATGCTGATGGAAGCTGGGTTTGCACAAGCAAGAGTAAATACAAGACAGAGAGGCATCCTGATCCTGTCAGTCTCAATCGTTGGATTCTTCCCAGTTTTCTTGATAGATTCAATATTCTTTTTTTAAGTACATTCTAGTTATTTTGCTACTTGGAACCATAGACCAGAGTCTGGCACCCCTCGTATAATAGACAAGCCACTATTGCCTAGTGAAAATGATATTATTTATTTATTTGAAAATTCTTTTGTGTTGCTAATTCTGCTTTTCGTTTCATCTTGTTGAGCTTTTGGCCTATAAATTGAACTATTTATTTAAGTGGATTAAATGCAATTGATCTCTTAAAAGAATATTTTAAATCCTAAATTAGTACCGGGATGATCTTTATCATCCATTCAATTGGTGTATAAATATGTTAGGCAACTTATTTGATATTTTGTTAATTTTTTTAAGTGGTTGACTGAAAACAGTAGTTCAGAATGATATATATGTAATTTTGCTGCAATTTTTACACATCCTACCACTTCAAAACATTGATTTGATCTTATTCTCTTAGTAATATATCCACACACGTTTTGCATTTCTGAATTAGACATCAACTAAACTGATTCTGTATTTGAATTCTAAAATAGAAAATCAGCCAGAAAAAACAAAAAGTTACAATACTGTAGAACTTATAGGAGAACATCAACCTTAGTCTTCATTAGACACTTAACTTATTCCAAATTGTCATTAGCAGAAAGGTATGGTTCAATTGTGCTGGGTTTTTTTTTTTTTGGCATCATATGCAGGATTTTCTGTGCAAAACAAAGTAAAATATGGACTTGTCCACAATTTTAACTTAACCATCATTTATTTATTCAGGTTGTTGAAACTAAAAGGCAAGTTGCAGTTCTTGAATCATACCTGGAACAAAGGGGAGTAACATTGCCAGAAGGATACTTGTCTGGAAAGGTTGTACTCCCAAATCCAAATTGCAGGTGTGCATTAGAATCTTTCTTTACTGTTTTTTGGGAAAAGATGTGTTATTTCCTACATAAACAAATTCTTATCCAGCTCATCAACAAGGTTCTAACTTATCGGTGAAGGCCTTAGAGGAGTCTTAATGGATAGTGGACTGAAGGTATTAATGAGAAAGAGGACTAGTAAAGTTTCTCACCTTTACTTCTAGTGAGGTAAGGAAGTACAGGCTGTGGATTGGATTGAATGTTGACTGTTGGCTGTCCAATCATTTGGCAGTGCCTGTGTACATATATTTATAATTTCTGTGATTGTTAAGTTGTTAACATATATTTATGATTCATAACTTTCATAAGTGTAAATTATCTGGTTTCCAAATGACCCACAAATGTGTTTCTTCATTTACTGAAACTTTAGCTTTATTTTTCTGTTTCATTTTCTAGGACCATTCACTCAATAAGTTTCCCATCAGAGGTCATTTCTTTTGATGAATGGATACAACTTAAGCCAGAGCCCAAAAGTATGTTTTCTGGTTGGTTTAAGGATGCATTTCGGGGAGAAAAGAAGATGTATGATGCAGTACATCAGAAGCTTCATTTTGTTCTCAGTACAGCTCCAGTGTGGGATAGGTTTGCTCCAATCCCAACTTAGCAATATATTAGTATATATTCTTTACATCATCAGATGTCAATATGATTTGGAGAGAAACAAATTCATTGGTTGTCATAAAAATTTAAATATGCTGCCTTGGAGATTTTTTATGCTGTAACTCTATCTAATGCAATAGTTGTATCCTATAGAACTCCAATATCCATTCTTTTCTACCGGAAAAAAAATCCCCATTTTATGCAGTCTGCGTTATTTTCTAGAGGTAACCTGCATCCTCAATGGCTTATGTCACTGGTTTTAATTTGAGTTCATATTGCATTTTTATTTACTCAATTGCAAGAAACAGAAACACGAAGTATGAAGTTTTGCTATGGGGTCGTCTCCGTCGAAGATGGAGTCATCTCTTTAAAATTTCAAGTCCAACTGTCTCTGTAGCTGGAGCCGACGCAAGTAGCCATTAACCGCAAGTTCCTAGAAGCACGATGGATTGCCAACGCAAATGTATAGCTATTGGTTCCAAAACTTTTGAACTGGTTACAAATTGATATCCCGGGGATGGTGAGTTGGTGATCACAGAGCAAGGAAGAGGGGCTTGGACTAGAATTTCTCTGAAAAAGGAAGAGGCTCTCTGGACAATGGGTGGGCTGGAAAAAATCCTAGAAAATCGCTTCAAAACCTTTGAACCATTAAGGCGAGCGGACAGGGGAAGGATAACTACTATCCTAGTTGCAGAAAATATATGGGGAAGATTCATCAGACTGAGCCATTGGGAGGGAGCAAGTAGAATGCGAAGTATCTGCATTCCTGAAGAAACTAACTCGTTTGGATGAGAGACAATGATAAGTGCTTTAAAATCTGTTCTCACCAATAAGGGCAAGACAAACTTGGGCATCCCGTCATCAGAGGAGTTTCTGAATTTAGAGAAAGGCAGGAGTAGAGTGGTGAAGGTCGGAGGTCGTGCCTTCATCTCCATGGTCCACCGATCTGGTCCGTTCGGAAGTTGGAAGACTGCCTTCATCTGCACCAAACTAGAGGAGTTACCTTGGAGAGAGGTTGAGTTAGGTCTCTCAGCAAATCTGCACTCCCCAAAGTTGTTAACTGTGAAACCCTTCAAGTCAAACAACGGTGGGGTTTGCCCCTGTTAGAGTACACAAAACAGGGGTATTTTGGTCATTTGGGTTTATCTATTTGAGAGTGAAAGGTCTGTTTCGTTTAAGTTATGTGTCCCATCACTTGTGAGGGACAATATGGTCTTTCTTGTAACTATGTTATTGGAGATAAATACAAGTGGGTCAACTAGAGAGAGGACTGATTTTCCTCTACTGGCCGAACCCTTCTTCTTCTTCTTCTCCTCTTCTTCTTCTTCTCCTCCTTCTCTACTGTAACCTAGGACTAAATAAGGTTTTCACATGGTATCAGAGAGCATGTAACAAGTTCAGATCTGCTCATCTTGCTCTTTTATTCTGGTTCACCCAGTTTTTTTTTTATCGCCCTCTTCTCTAGGGTTTTGCCGATTTCTCAAGAACCACTGGGAGATTAAGGGAAAGGTTGAAAAGGAGTGGTCGTTTTTCTCTGTAGGAGGCCTTCATGCCTCCGGTTTGTGATGCAATGGCTGTTTGTGGTGATTGGTAGGAAGATCTCTATTCGATGGTATGAAGAGAGCAGGTTCGGGTGAATAGTGTTAAGCTGAGTACAAGTTGGTTTTGTAGAGTGCAGTGTAAGTGTTTGGTTTAATGGCTGAGTGATTTCAGCCCTTGTATTTGGTGTGTGAATGGTTCTGCAGTGTGCAGTATAGGTGTTTGATTTAATGACTGAGTGATTTCAGCTCTTGTATTTGGTGTGTGAGTGGTTCTGCAGTGTGCAGTACAGGTGTTTGATTTAATGACCGAGTGATTTAAGCTTTTATATTTGATGTGTAATGTGTATTTGAAGAAGTTGGTGGTGCTGAAAGTGAGATAAGTTTTGTGGAAGTGCATAAGGTTGTGCTGAATATTTGAAGGTGAATACTCTACATATAGCAGTGATTTCTTTGTGAGGTAAGGTGAATTAGTTAAGATGGCATCGATTGGAGATGGGAATGACA